TATATATATATATATATATATATATATATTTCATTTCCATTTAGTTTGTTGAAGTGTTAAAATAACAAACTTAATAAAAGACCTATACAGACATAATAAATTCAGACATAATTTAACTCAAATTAAAATAACTAATACAAATCAAACGACAGTAGTTTCAGTAATCCGAAAAAATAACACCGCCAAACTTGCATGCTAAAAAACAACAACTTACTCACACATAGTAAGAAATGGTTATAAAAACTGAAACGGAAGTGAAACCAGTAATAGGAAAGAGGAGAAATCAAAAGCGATACTTATCCTTTGCCGGTGTCCCTGCCCGAATATTTAGAAGAAATATATTGTTTAAAGGGATAGTTGACCCCAAAATGTTCGTTTTGTAATCATTTACTCCTCCAAACCTGTATAAGTTATGTTATGTTAAACACAAAAGAAGTTATTTTTAAGAACCAAACAATTGCTGGTCCCCATTGACTTCCATTGTAGGGAAAAAAATACTATGGAAGTCAATGGGGACCATCAATTGTTTGATTACCAGCATTCTTCAAAATATCATCTTTTATGTTCAAAATAAGAAATACATTCATACAGGTTTGGAACCCCATGACGGTGAGTAAATGACAACATTTTCATTTTTGGGTGAACTATCCCTTTGATATATGCGTTAGTTGTCTGAAATGTGGCATTGTAGTTAGAAGTTGAGTTACGGTGCTCACGTGGACATTGAGTTTGAGTCTGGCGTTTTGTTGTTTCCGTATTCAGTTTGCGTTCCTTCTACCTTGTATCTTGTCCTCTCTCTACAGTGGTTTTCAACCTTTTTGACTGTTATTTTGGTATTCAGTATTTGAAGGCCCCCCCCATATGGAAGAAAAATGGTTTCAGTTAGATTATTTTAATATATTATAATTTATTATTTTAAATACTATTAAGTCATCTAATGGCTCCTTTAAAGGTTTGTTGTGGACCTCAACCCCCTATTAGAGAGAACCACTGCTCTGTTATCCCCGTCTATACAACAAAGGTATTAAAAAAAACAAAAAAAACATGAAATTTGAAGTTTTTCCAAAAACTAATATCAGTCCCAACTCATGCTCTATGAATTTTGTCACACAGCCTCATTTTCTAGGTCCTGACTCAACCCTGAACAATAAATCATGTTGTCAATCCTGCTGAGATGTCCCTACCATTGGCCTTGTAGAGGGACGAGGGGCACGAGAGGGTGGAGCGGGGGGCACAGTGATCTCTAAATTTAGCTCCATATGACTGTCCCTTCAAACCAAATGCTATGGTGAAGCTATAGTGGATCTGAGTGCTATTTTTAACTTGCATACTTTCTCGCAGTCATGTTGGTTTAGGGCTCAACGAAATAACATAGACATTTTCGCTTAATAACATCAGAACCACAGCTCAAGTTCTGTTTTCTTATAGCCTGTCTGACTTATATTTGAGGTAGCTTGACACTTAGCACCTGGTGTTTAAATAGCTGAATTCCTTTGCAAAACCATATTTGCTAGTTCATGGTGACAAACAGATGGCTCACATGTCCGGTGTCAGCACGCTGAGGGAACAAGTATGTTCCTCTGTCAGATAGTTGAGAGTTTCTTTTGAGCACTTGCTGATTGTCTTTGTTATATTAGCACTGCAAGCTTTGTATACATTGCTTGTTGTGAATAAAAATCATGATGTGTACATGATTACTGACTTGCTGTAAAGCTTATGTGGTGTGTAGTTGAGGTCCATTTATAGAAATGACTTAATTTTATTGGAGGGTATGGGGTGGATTTAGTTGCTGGTACTGTTAGTGTGAGCTGGAACTGATCTGTGTGTGTGACTGTGAATGTTCATCACATTTAACCTCCTTCTCTCCTTCTGCTTAGACGTGAAGAGACAAGCAGGAGACTGAAAAACGTGAGTTTTTCTGCTATTAAAAGCTTGTTCTTAATCACAAACCAATAACTTCTGAACTAAACGGTGCACCAAGTGAGTCTATGCATGGTTTGTCTTTAATGTAAACAATTTGGCCTTTGACTCTTTAGTTTGCATACTTATAAATTTTATCTCGTCGCAGTCTTCTGCTGAAGGTGTTATTGCGGTGTCATTTAAAGCCACTTAAAGGACTGCTTTGCATGCACTATAATATATATGGATTAATGACTCCATTGAAGAACAACGTTTTGAAATGAACAATTGTTTAATTTAGAAAAATGTTTTAGTGTTACACCTCCATGTGGTTCTCAAAAAGCTCTCTTGCTCACGATTGTCTCAGATTTTTCTCCAGTGTGCTCATGATTGTTTCAGAGTAAGTAATGTTAGGGGAAAAAGATAAGTGGTACTGATGATGACTAATGATTGATTGTAATTCGAGTTTTGAATATGTGAAAGGAATTTGAACTGGAACTGCACAGCATCTGCATGTACAGTCTGCTATGCTTCTTTGTTTCATTGGTAATATGTTGTTTTGCTAATATTTGATAACTCATTAGAATAATTAATCTTAGAGATCCAACAGGCACCACAAAGCCCTGTTGTCTTCATTGTCTTGTACGTGTGCCACATTCCTGTCCTGTTGGCACCCTGTGTGTGTGTGTGTGTGTAAATGGTCAAAGTTTTATAGATGAGAAAAGGAATGTAACTGGGACACAGAAGCCATTCATGTCACACGCAATCACGCACAGCACTGAATTCTCAGGGGCTTTGCTTTTGTGTCATTTCATATTAAAACTTGTGAAAGTGAAAATTCTGATTTAAATTAATAAATTATAAATTAATATCTACATGTTAATTAGGGAAAAATACAGATTCAAGTTTATCTTCCTCTTCTTTTTCTTTTTTTTCTCAATTATATTTTGTCCTCGTTTGTTTGAAGTGGGGTTTTTATTTATTTTTTTTTTTTTTACCGCTTTTTCTGTCATCCTGTTATTACATACAGGTTTTGATAACTATATACTGGTTGGGGAGGAAGGCCCAGTCTGATCCGTTTTACACTGGACCACAGCTGAATCTAAAAGCCTTTGAAGGTTTGCTGGGCACAGCATTATCTAAGGTATTTACTTCTGATGCGATTTTTCTTCTTCTTCCCTTTTCTCTTTTATTCAGAGAAAGTGCAATGCAAGTTTGAGAGCTGATGCACAAGATCAATTAATGTTAGTTTGATGCGTTTATAACCTAAAATACCTTTTTAATACAGTGAAACTTTTACATTGTTTTTCTTTTGTTTTTAATTTTTAAATGAAATTATTGTATAAAATAAACAAGGATGAAATCATCAATGTTTCTAAATTAGAAATGTCAGTTTTTTTTTGTTTATAGCTTGCCTTCAATGTAAAGAATTATTTTAAATCATTTAAAATATTTAACAATAATAATAACGATTATTTTTATTATATTAAATATTTTTAAAATAAACAAGGATGAACAAGTCAGAGTTGTTGCACAAACTATAACATTTAAATTTGTTGTTTATACTAGCTTAAAATTCTTCTTCTTCAAAGTATTTATAAAACAAGGATGTGAGATTCTGTTGTGCAAATGATGAAATGCCAGTTTGATGTTTATAGTTTAATACCTTAAGTGATTTTTTTTACTTACTTATTATTATTATTATTATTATTATTAAATAATAGCAAAATAAACAAGGGCGTAAGTCTGAGATTTGTTGCACAATGATAAAATGTCAATTTAATGTGTCTACAACTTAAAATACCTTCTCATTCAATTTTAAAACATTTCACATAAAGTTTCTATCAAGTGTTTATGCATTGGAATATATCCATAAGACAAACAGGCCCCTCACTAGTCCGAATCATTACATTACAGTTGAGTCTCGTGTGATTGGACTCGGTGTTTTTTACAAAGGATGTCATGCAGGTCCATGTTTGGCTCCTGATAAAATGATTGTCAAGCGCAAGTCAGTGTTGTCAGTCTCCGCATAGTAATTATCAAAGAATTGACCGACACATTGCTCAGCATTTAGGTAATTTCTTCAGTCAGTAAAATGGAAAAACCACAGTAAAAGTCTACTGGAGCTCAAGTCTGTTTACTAAAACTCACTTTTCAACCCTCTCTGAAGTTTTGGCTCTTTATTCACCTTCTTCAGGCTCTGGAGGAGTCTGTGCAGTCCAAGTCGAGTGTGAGGGACAGTGGGTACGCAGAGGGCTGGTTCTCTGACAGGGAGGATCTGTTCGGTCTGAAGCAGTCGGGCTACAGGAGAGAGGACTCAGTCGAGAGCCTGGACTCAGTGGAGTCTCGCACACTTAGCGTGGCTTCAGACTGCACACTTAGAGTCGGCAGTGAAGGTAAGACTGGTTGTGTGTGTCTTTGTTGTTTTTTGTGTGTGTGTATGTAATTGTGTAATAAGGTCCTTTTTTTATTGTACTTGTGCTCTATTTGATTTGGTCATCACAGTGGGAACTTTGCAGTGAACAATGGGTGTTAACATGCACTGATTTTCATTAATCTGACTTGAATCACATTTCAGATTCTGAAAGTACTGTTTATATACACACTTTCAAAAGTTGTGAGTCAGTTTTGTTTTTATTTTTAGAAATGTAATTATTTTATTCAGCATGGATGATTTAAATGGATTAAATGTGACAGTAAAGACACATACATTTGTTACAAAAAGTTCTCTAAAAAAAGGTGTTTTTAATCAATTCATCAAACAATCCTGAAAAAAAACAAGAAATGTTTTTTGAACAGCAAATCAGCTTATTAGAATGATTTCTGAAGGATCATGTGACACTGAAGACTGGAGCAATGATGCTAAAAGTTTAACTTTACCATAACAGGAATAAATCGCAATTTAAATGGTAATATTTCACAATATTAACATTTTTATTGTATTTTTGATCAAATAAATAGTCTTAGGACTGCATTTGCAAGAGACGTCTTTCAAAAACATTCAATCTTACCAACCCTCGACTTTTGAACGGTAGTGTTAGTGTACACACCCTAACCTTTGTGATCTGATTCAAATATTAATTTACATGGTCATTGCATTTATTTAGAACAAAATTTCTGTGCAAATGCAGTCTGTCAGTCTGTATCAGAGAAAAGCCACTGCAGGAGTTTTACTGGAACTAACTGATATCGCTTTTTATCAAATATTCAGTGTCCGCTTTACTGAGCACTTCGTAATAAGTAAATAAACGTGAACGTTGTATGACCTAAATAAACATACACATCATGACTGTGCATGTGCACAAGGTCTTTCTGAATCCAATTGAGAAAGTAGTTTTGCAGTAAGCTAATGGCTAATGTTTTCATATTTAGCAAATTATTTAAGATCTACACCACCCCTTTTAATCAGATTGAAATTTCATTCCAGTAAAGCTCATTTGGATCAATTAAGGAGTTTAAATTAAATGAAGGCATTTCAGTCCCATTGAGCCAACGATCCAATTATTAACTGATTATTAGTTTGCATGTAAATGTACACATTTTTTCTTAAACTCAATTGAGCAAAATTGTCAGACATTTGCTTCAAGACATAATGGTCCATACTGCTTAAATATCTCTAAGTGTTATCACTAAAATCACAATGTCTTGTTGACTTTGTGACTTTGATATTGCATTTCTCAAACACTTGGTAATGAAAGTTTGCTACCTAGACCTTGTCCCTTCACCCCATCCATTCACACAAGTGTGACATTCCTGATCGTTCCACACCCATTCGGTAATGCATAGAGCTGATGCCAACTGAAAGATGGAAGACTGTAGGGTGCTCTAGGGTTGTCATGATACTAAAATGGTAATGCCAAAGCAAAATAAAGTGCTGTTTAGGAACTATACACACACACACACACACACACACACACACACACAAATAAGACAGTGGCATCATGTAGCCTGCAAGTAAATACTGAAGAGCAACAAAACAAGCAATAGACTCTTAACGCGTGACTGCTCTAGACCTCTTCACAAGATTCTGCACACAAATATGTGAGGTGTGTTTGACATCTCACTTGACTGTTGATTTTGTTTATCATCTTTCTTTTACTCTGTTGTGATCTCCCAGGTTGCTGTAGTGACGCAGAAGCAGAGCATTGCTTCAGGATGGCAGAAGGCAGTAAAAGTGATGCCCCCATCAGGGAAAGAGTGCATGTCCCATCTGCCTTGAGGAAGAAAAGGCAGGAATACCAGCTGGGAGGCAGGAGTTATGCAGGCAACCTCACTAGGTATGATGCACTCTTTTCTGGCTCACTTCGCTTCAAAAACTGATTCCGCATACAAATGTTGGATGACAACTTTTGCTAAGCTTATAACGGATATACAGCAGGGTGTCGATGGGTTTTGAATTTTAAATTTACTCACTAAAATGTCCAAAAAAGCCCTTAAGAATCTTAAATGCTCGTTTAAAATTCTTGAATGTTTTTGTCATTTGTTTTGTCATGTGTATATATCCTGCTTGAGCTTTGAGATCATGCAGGTTTGCTGTTCAAACTTAAAGGGGTTATATGATGCGATTTTCAATTTTTCCTTTCACTTTGGAGTGTTACAAGCTCTTGGTGCATAAAGAAGATCTGTAAAGTTGCAAAGACTAAAGTCTCAAATCCAAAGAGATATTCTTTATAAAAGTTAAGAGTCAGCCACGCCTACCTAAAACGGCTCGTTCTAACATAGATGCTCGTTCCCACACGTCTATGTCACGATGTGGGAAGATTTGCATAACGCCGCCCAAATGTTCACGCAAAGAAAGAAGGCTTAACTTTTATTCTCGCTGTAGTATTGTTGCTGTTGCCATGTCGTGTTTGGCCTTCCAAAAGAGGATGATATCCGCTTCGTCATGCCTAGAGCTGATCCGTGCTGGTCTCTGAGGACATACATCAACTTTGCGCTGTCGATCACCGGATCAGCTTTCACCGTGGACGAAGCGGAGTCCAGCCCGCCTCAGCATCAACTTTGCGCTGTCGATCAGCTTTCACCGTGGACGAAGCGGAGTCCAGCCCGGAGTCGTCACATGTGGTTGCCGCAAGCCTCCTTTGTCGAATCCGCCGTGCAACGCTCACTCAAGCCGCTGTGTGTTTCGTTGTGAAAGCGAAACTACTTTGTTTGGCCTTCCAAAAGAGGACATAATGTTTCTATAAAGCGGGGCAGTTCCAACTTTGCAAGGACAGTCTGGCGCTTCTGACTCGCAGCCTGTAAGTACGTTTTTTCTATTTAAAGAATTTGCCACTGATGATTCAAACGCGAGCTTGAGCGGTGTAGAGTAGTGCTTGTTGTTTGTCATTTCTCCGATCACAAATGCAGACATGGTTTTATGTTTATGCGGCGCAATACGCAACACAAAGCGTAAAATCACAGTATAAGTCATTATAATCCGTAATTATGTCCTCACTGGATGCAACATGCCTCGTTTGTAATGTGTTTTATTGGTTTTGTCTCGTCACGCCGGGACACATGGAAGCACAGTATGTTAAGGGGCATAACATTTCCGTCACACACTTGAGGTATTCAGCCAATCACAACACACTGGATAGCTGGCCAGTCAGAGCACACCTCGCTTTTCAGACCGATGAGCTTTGTAAAAATCAACGCGTTTCAGAAAGGCGGGGCATAGAGAAGCAATAATGTACATTATGTGGAAAATGTGTTTTTTGAACCTTAAACCGCATAAACGCATTGCATTACACCAAATAATGTTCTTTTTAGCAACATCATGTGACCCCTTTAAAAGAAACAAATTAAGTTGTAAAAAAACCATTAATGTTGTCCATATAAAATGGTATTTTCTTCAGTTTTATTGTTGATAGTTTCTTATGTAACAGGGTTGGCTGTAACAAATATATTGTGCGTGTAATTGGAGGTGGTTTTCTTAGTCTGTCCACCATCTTTTGGCTGTAGTGAAAGTGGGAGGGGCTTATGCCACGACCTTCCTCCTGCTTCTGCCTTCCTCCAATGGGCAAGCAGTTACCAGAGTGACAGTGACTCTGATGCGGATCGCGCTGAACCAGACCTTGTGCAGGACGACCTAGCGAGTCGCAGATTTCACTCTGTAACCTCCGTGGCCCCAGTGAACTTTGCTATCCCTTCAAAGCCTCTAGGACCCAGGGTGGCCCCTATGGTGACCCCAAGTGCTAGGAAGTCATGGCTCACCTTGTCAGATGCCTCACGGCTGGCCGCAGTGCCGCCCCAGAGATCAAACCAGAGGTCAGAGTTTAGAGAGTGTTTCAAATATAGACTGTGTCTACCGTGGTGCCCTAATATTTGTGCTTATGTACATCCAACTGGTCCTTACTACTTTTCGTTCATCTGTTGATTGTAACTAAATAAGCTTTATTAATTTAGAAGACATGCTTAGTTTTTCCTAAACTGGTGTTCTACTGTAGTGGAGCTCATTTGGAAGAATTGCTTGGCGTGATCCTTCAATTTTATCTTGGCACTGTGTGGGTCTTCACTAATTTGCTGTTCATTCATCTCATTACTAGAACTGCTTGTGGTTTGTAAACTTTGCTTCCTTTTTAATGGAGCTTAATTTAGATCTAATGTAGCAGTTGTGGCCATCTTGAGAGTGTAACAAATTATTAATTTGGTAACATCCTTCTAATCTCTGAGCTTAATTTCAGTGTTTCATTTCCCTAGCCTCGTATTTATTGGTGTGAGATGATTTGGCCAAAGCTGTGTATGATAAAAAAAAAAAAAAGGCCTGCGCACATCCACTGCAAGCATAGAAAAAGGGCTGTTTTGGAAAGTTGAACTTAATAACAGTGAATAACTCTGCAAACAGCCACTAAAACTGCATTTGTGCAGTAATTTCTATAAGATCCCAGCAAAATGAAACCTACAACATTTGTTTTACGATTGTTTTACAGTGGGCTTTAACCAAAAATCTCCAATAACTAAAGATCTCTTGGGAGTTTCTTGAGCTGATTTAGTGTTACATGTGATTTTAATAGTTTTGCAACACGGATATCATTATATAATGTAATAAATTCTGTGTATGCGCCATTGTGACAACTGGAGCTCTGTTCATATGCTGTAATGTTTGTGTCTGTCTGACATGTCACAGTCTGAAGTCAAAGAACTTGCACTGAAATGTCAAATTAACTTTTTGGGCCAATAAAAATACCAGCTGTGAATTTATTTTTATTGATTTATTTATTTTCTTTTGTGTGTGTGTTCCATGATCGATAGTAAGTCATGAGGGTGGGTAAATGAATTTATTTGTGGGTGTGCTCTTCTTTTTAATTGATCCTCTATTGGGAGAAACTAAAAATAAATCCATTTACTATAAAGACAGTTTCACAATCAAATATTTTCATGATTTCCCAGATATCCCATGAGACACTCTCGGTACACAGGGTGAGTTTTGCAATTTTTGATGTTGCTTCAGTGTCATCTTGCAATAACAAACTCCTGATTGCTTTTGCATTTGTGGCTCCATTACGCAGGCTGCTTTTTTTTCTATAGGAATGTGTGCATTTTGAAGGAGATGTCCCTCAAGTAAATTATAAAATCAATCATCACGCAGCATTTTACAAATTGCTACATGCTATATAGCAGTATCTTGCATTCTGTCTCTCCCGCATCGTTAAATCGTTATTTTACGGCATAAGCTTTAATGCATACGCTTATTTATGTTGTATTGTAATATTATACTATTATTTTTTTTCCATCACTGTGTGCAGTTTTTGCTGGTTTATCTCTCGATTAAGTTTATGATGCTAATGTCTTTAACACTGCTTTTACGGGGTACAGTTCAAGTCTTAACCTCTAGATGTCAGTTTAACATAATTATAAAAGTCAACATTCCAAACTTCTGGGCTTTTGAATGGAGATTAACATTTAAATGACCATGTCCATCTCCACTCAACAGAAGCAAATCTATGGGTGACATCACACTGGAGCCCATTCCACAGGAGTCTGACACCTGCTCCAGCTTTGACCAGATGGGGTCACGGCATATTCACCAGCTGTCTGTTGAAGAGGTGACCCTTGACCCCTCAGCCATACAGAGAATTCAGCAGGAGCAGTTACAAAGCATCCGGGACAGAATAAAGGAAAGTGAAGCCAAGTGGCATGAAGTAAGTGATGCTTATTTGCATAACATTTTATACATCATGGTTGTGGAACTACTGAACACGCAGATTTGAGTAATAAAATAAATGTTTACAGGGATAGTTCACCCAAGAAAGGCAATTGTCAGCATTTACTTACCCTCGTGTTGTTTTAAACCTGTATGTGTTTCTTTCACCTGTGGAACATAAAGGAAGATATTTTAAGAATTGTATAGACAAAAGCAATATTGTATATTGTTAGTATATTTCTCAGAAAACAGGATATTTCTCAAAATATCATATTCTGTGTTCCACAGAAGAAAGAAAGTCAAATGGGTTAATGACTATATATATATATATATATATATATATATATACATATACATATACATATACATATACATATATATATACATACACAGTGCCTTGCGAAAGTATTCATACCCCTTCATTTTTTTTAATGTTGCTGCCTTATGTTAAATTGCCTTAAATTACTTTTTTCCCGACATCATTCTACACTCCATACACCATAATTGCAAAGCAAAAAACAGGTTTCTTTGCAAATTGATTAAAAATAAAAAATGGAAATGATTCCATTGCATAAGTATTCAAACCCTTATCTGGGACAGCTGAAATTTAGCTCAGGAGCATTCATATTGCTTGTAGATGTTATTACACTTCAAGTGAAGTTAACAAATTCAACATAAGTTGGCAAATTCAATTGAATGGGTATGATTTGGAAAGGCACACACATTTTAATAAAAGGTCTAATGGCTGTAAATGCATATCAGAGCAAAAACCAAGCCCTGAGGTCAAAAGAACTGCCTGTAGAGCTCAGAAACAGGTTTGCCTCAAGCCACACATCTGGGGAAGAGTTCAGAAAAAAATTCTGCTTCATTGAAGGTTCACAGAATCGTGTAGCCTTCATTATCCATAATGGAAGACGTTTGAAACAACTAGAACTCTTCCTAGAGCTGGCCTCTTGACCAAACTGATGCAGAAGGGCCTTGTCTAGACTGATAGTATCTCTAGTTGAGCTCCATGATCATATATGCAGATGGGAGAAACCTACAGAAGGACAAACATCACTGCAACACTCCACCGATCTGGGCTTTATGTCGGAGTGGCCAGACTCAATCTTCTCCTCAGTGAAGACACCCAAAAACCCACTTGGAATTTGCAAAAAAGCACCTAAAGGACCCTTAGACTGTTGAGAAACAAGATTATCTGGTTTGATGAACCTCAGTTCCAATCATAATGTTTGAAGGAAACCAGGCACTGCCCATCACCTTGCAGAGTATCATCCAAAAAGTAAAGTGTACTGGTAACAGTCTCATGCTGTGGGGCTGTCAGAACCTCCAGAAGGTTCACCTTCCAACAGGACAATGAACCTAAACACAGCAAGGGTGGTTTATAGATGGCTCTGTGACTCTGTGAAAGTGGCCCAGCCACAGCCTGGCCTTGAACCCAATCAAATATTTCTGGAGAAACCTGAAAATGTGCGTTTGCCCCCATCCATCCTGACAGAGCTTGAGAGGTGAAGAGGCGAGGAGAAGAATGACCGATAATTGCCAAATGATGATGTGCAAAGCTTGTCGCATCATACCCAAAAAGACTTGAGGCTGTTAAGGTGCTTCAGCTAAGTAATGAGTTAATAAATACTTATGCAATGT